CAACATACTGCCTGCAGGGTCAAGGGGCCCTCAAGGACAACATGGGGGCCCCTCAGAGTCTTCTGAAAATAGAACAACTCACCAGTTGGCTGTTTGAAATTTAATTTTATTTCCTGAAATGTATGAGCTTGTAATTCACCAAAAACATTTATAAAAATATTACATTTGGGTCTGTGATTGAAAAAAAAAATAGCTTTCAACAATTATTTATTAATTAAATTTGAAATAAAATAAATAACGTTACAATTATTTAAATCGAGTCTTGCAGGTTAACTTTAACCAGTAAACGTAGAAAGTTGACAGATTTAGATCAAATGAGATGGCATCCATTACCGATGACGTCACATACAGAACTAACGACCTTGCAACTAGACCGGCGGAGGGCGCAGCACACACAGCTTTCTGATTATGTAGAAATAAAAAAAAATTGCGTTGTTAGTTAGATACATATAGATGCACAGTCGAATATAGTTTCATATTTGTACATCGGTGCACTACTATTGTGGCTACAGCTCCCAAGCTAACGTGCGGTGGTGTCTTTTGTTGCCGGAGTGCTCCTCCCTCCCTGCCCCCCCTTTCCTGTGTTACTCCGCCGTGGCGGAAGTAAGTTGTACAGCCAAGGCCTCATCCTTCCAATGGCGACTGCAAACAGGCTGAACAGAAAGCGGGAGCAACCGTGGAGGGGGGTCAGCGACGTGTAACCGAAATTAAATAAATATATCAGAAATTTCTTTAGCCATAAAGTTGGTCTGAAGATTGTTCAACCTCTCCAAATAACGGCCTTTTCCATGGCCAAAAGTCGGAACATTTCGCTCCTTGAGTCGGGTAAGCCGCACAAGTAAATAGCCTGATTTACATCAGCATCACTAGTGCTAATTGGTTCTCAGAGTGATTTCCTGGCCATTAATGTACTCACTGTTCCTTTTTTAGAGCTATATTACTTGATTTCTCGTTTTCTAACAACGGGTCCGTGTCGGAGAGCGGCTGAGGTGAGCTGGCACGCTTTGACTGGCACACTTTGTTGGATCACGACATAGTTGATGAGCTATTTGGATAATAGCTAATAGGCATCCTGATCTGAACTGCATTTTAATTCCCCCCCAGGTCCTAGCGAGTGAGCTTGAGGAATATCAGGTCTGTATTCTGGTTATCTCCTCGCTAGGTAACGGCTAACTAGCTGCCTCGCTGTAGGCTGACTGCTTTTAAACTTGCTGAACTCTCTGGACTTTTTAATACCCCGTTCCTCCTACTCATTTGACATCACCCACTTTTGTAGTGGACGTGTACCTGCTTCAGTCTTTACAGTTAGCCCGCTTTAACGGTATTTTATTATAATTTTTTTTCCACAGCTCCTACCCGGGAGATTGGACTGGCTGGGAAACGAACATCCCAGAACATACGAAGATGTGGTAAGATGTGATTTAATGGTCTTAAGTTCATTGCCGA